ATATGCATTCATTTTACATTTAAACCTTCCTCTCGAATCACTCTCTCTATGGGTGAAAACAGCATTAAAATCCTTTGCTTGGTTTAAAACATCTAAGCGTACAACACAAAAAAGGGATTTTATTTTATACTATGTAAGGATAGACAAAAAAATGAAGCCACTTTTAAAGTAACATTAGGAAAAATTACTATCCCGTTTTAAAAAAAAAACAGAATTAACCGCCGTCATCCGTTACTTGTACCATAGATAAACTAGAGTGGGGGGAGACAGAACTCGTAAATATGTCGGGTTTTATAGTAACACGCCCCTACAGGGGCTCAGGTTGCCCTGCAGGGGTGGCTACATCCCCAAGTTTTTTACTTGTTTTGTGCATCCGGGTTTGTTAGCAATGATTTCTTGATTGCTTATCCGTATAATAGGAATGTGTCGTGAGTGAGGTAATTTAGTTACGATATTTTTCAAACGGTTTCTTTTTATGTGAATTTCGCCAGGTGTATTACAGAAGTTGCTAATAAAAAGAATTAGGTGGAGACACCACTTAACTTTTATATTATAACTAGCTGACCCGCGCAACTTCGTCTGCGTCTCTCAATAGTAATAAATTTTCTCCGTTTTTGAAACATTCTTCATTGGTGCTCCGCTCCTATTAGTCTTAGCGTGATGATATATATCCTATAGCCTTCCTCGATAAATGGGCTATCTAACACTGAAAGAATTTTTCAAATCGGACCAGTAGTTCCTGAGATTAGCGCGTTCAAACAAACAAACAAACAAACTCTTCAGCTTTATAATATTAGTATAGATTTAATACAAAAATATAAACGTACATATAATACATAAACAATATTTCTTTCTTTAAAAAATCTGAATATTATATTTTTTTATTTAATGCTTTATTTATTATTTCCTTTCATAAGCTATTATAATATACTGAACTCTACTTCTACGAAATAATTTTGATCTTTCACATCCGCCAGACGCAACAACTCATTTCTTAATATTTATTACCGTTTAATTCGGAATCTACCGTAATTTTCGTTAAATGAACGAATATCAGAGCGTTGGTTGGCGACGGCCTTGATTAGGGTAGATCGTAAATGTCCTTCACCGCCCTTTGGTCGAGAGGCTTCACCTCCGAAGGTCAGCCCTAATGTTTGGAAATAAATCTTAGTAATCACTTCTTTGCAATGCATTTTCCGTTAGCCATGGTCTGTTTCTAAAAAGTTTTTCAGTACTTCTTGAATGTTTTCGGCGTAGTCGTGGGCGCTATTGAGTTACTGTCGTGGGCGTGTGGGAGGGATTAGTCCCAATAAAGTACCTCTTGAGTGAGTTTTAAAAATATTCCAGTAGGAATGAGTTATTGACCATTGAATTTCAACATATTTACAGCGAATTTTTATTTTTTTGAGTTAGATTGGGTTTTTTTTAAGGAGCAAATGGGGAGACGGGTCACCCTGATAGTAAGTGGTTATCATCACCTATGGACCCTATAACTTAGATTCTCAAGTTGCTTATCTCCTGAATCAAGCCAAGTATTAAAAAAAATTTTTTTACCCCTGACGCAAAAATGAGGGGTTTTAAGTTTAATGTGTGTATATTTGTGGCATCATAGCTCCTAAACGGATGGACTTCGATTTAGTTATTTTTTTAATCCCTTCAGTCCTTTTGTATTTTTTATTATTGCTGCTGTCTGGCGGTGACGGACTAAGAATATTGAGTGTGTGTGTGAGAGAGCAAACAACGCAGAACAACTGCACTGCAAAGAGAAGGAAAACTTGACACAAACCCTATACCAACTCGTCTCGCCTGCGTGGTATAGTAAGTCAAATCCTTTCTAAGGAGAGGCCTTTTAAAGGCAGTGGACTATTAAAGGCCGTTGATGTGTGATGTAATAAAAAAAAAAGTATTTTCTGTACCCCTAATAACAACTATGACTGCACGGATGGCGTAGTGGTTTAAGCGGTCGGCACGCCGCTTACTACTACGCCGAGTGTTGTGGGTCCGTTCCCCACATGGGACGACACTTTGTGTGATCCATAAATTGTTGTTCTGAGTCTGGGTGTTCTTTGTGTCCATGTATGTTTGTAAAGTCCCCCGCGACACAGGATATATTCCTAATGCGGGAGTTGTCTTTTAAAAAATTAATAAATGAATGAATAAAAAATAACGACAACATTACATATATATACAACAATTCATGATAAACAGTGAAGTAAACAGTAATAAACAGACGTTCATACTTCTAATATTATTACGGTTACGATATTTATTTCGCCTATCTCATGTAAGTAGGTACATGAATATCCTCTAAAGTGTTATCGTGTTCATTTCTTTGTCATTAATTATGTTATTATATGGTTTTTATCGCTCTCATTAATTATGATACATATCTTAATGCACAATAACTAAAATTGCAATTTAAAATGTTGATAAAATCAAGCGTTTTACCTATTTGTGTGTTTGATTATATTATATTTCGGATACCGCGTGGATTTCGGTAACCGTGATCCTTTTTTTAGCATGACCTTTTGATACCTATTTAACATTAATCGTTATATTTCAGTCAATTTACATAAAAACATCATGAATTATATACCTAAACCTTCCTCGGGAATCACACCATCTAATCGTAAAACCGTACAAAAATCCTTTTGGTAGTTTTTGAGTTTATCGCGTTCATACAGACAGACAGACGCGGCTGGGGTACTTCATTTTATAAAATATGTAAGGATTACAAATGTTTTGAAACACTTGACCTGCTCTCCCCTTGTCACATTTATTTGACTCTGTATTGTCCCCTAAATAAATAAATATTAATAAGCATTTTCTTATAACAACGGTGGAACAATGCGGGCGCCGATATTTTTGTACTGAGAGTCAGTACAAAAAGGATAATTTATTGTACAAATACAACCCAAAATCATTTAAAAATATTTACATATTTATATCCCTGTGATTTTGTCACGTTTTGATTTATTATTATTCTTGATTTAGTATTTTGGATATTTGCCAACATTGGTAGATAAATTGTATGTTTGTAGAACAATCTCAGAAGACTTAAGAAAGATTATGAAGAACGAATATGCAGCCGCGATATAATTTGTCGTTTATTTAAAGCGATATCGGTGGTAGACAAATAACATCTTTAATTATAATTTTGATGGAGTAAATATTAAGTTTTTTAGTAGGTTTTACCTCATAGCTACATCATAAAATTTTAATCTAAAAATCAATAATAAATTAAAATTTTGTTATATTGACCATAAATCATGTGGTATTGTTCTTTTAATTACTTTTGGTCTCCCATGGCGTGGGCTGAACTATGAAAAGGCGCCGTAGGCGGCACGCAATGGATTGCTACCTGACTTAATACGCTAAAAAAAAAATTGCAAAGCGGCTCGATTTTTTGGTAATTTATTATTTGAAATTGTCTCAAATTTTTTAGAAACGGAATATGCCAGATACAAAATGATGTGTCGAATCGATTTTTGAAAGCGGTTATCAATGGTTATCGGTTGTTTTTCACTTTAATGGTGACATAAATTCCACGCAGACCAGTAAACTAACTAACTACTTACTGAACCATGGCAATTTTTTTGAAGTGAAAACTTCTTTAGGCGCCTTGGGTTGCCTTACCGACACCTCTGTTTATAAGTTTTCACTTCTGTCAGTACTCCCGGAGTGCCACAATTTTTTTTTGGAATAGGGGGCAGACTCGAGAGTCACTAGTGCGTTGCCACCTTCAGAATCACCCACCCACCCAGAATAAGGGGGAGAAGGTGTTTGGGTAGTGCGTTTTTAACTGCGCAGTAAAGTGTGAGGATCAGTTCCTAACGTGAATAGAACATTAATTTGTCCAAACACAAATTATACAACTGATAAATAATTCATAGACACTTCAATCTTAAAGCAATATTCGGTATATTTAGATTTCTTTCAGGAAAACTTTACACTTTTAATGACTGAATTAATGAATTTGGACTTATTTCGGCAAGAGATTTTTGATAACGGCTATGATCAGATATCAAGGTTGTCAAATCCTTAAAATATTAAATAAATCTTAAAACTCACAAGAAAATAAGATTCATAACATTCACACAGTAATTGCTCCCTCCACTATTGACTTATTTAGAGTATTTCAATTAATTTATTACTACTTATAACTTGGAAAGATCTAACATATTTTAATTGCAGATTTAAAAAAGGCCAGTTATTCTAAAGTCTATTTATCTTATTCTTTCTCTATGAAGCTTCTGCCTAATTTCTTAAGTTTTTTTCATACAAAAATTAAACAACAAATTATTTTTGTTTACCTTTTCAGAAATTTTTAAAGAAGTTCTATATAATATGCATTTTAGTTCACTAATACTGCTGATCATTATTCATTCATTCATTATTTATTATCAAATATATAATGCTATAATCAATATAATTTTTGCAAAGTATTCTTAGCATGTCCACTTACTATTCACCACTGTACAATGTTATGTATTGTGAGTTAACAGACATAATCATAACAGTATTGAGTTACCTACAGCTAGACACTGTGTTGATTGTTAGCAGAAATGTGGGACATCTTGAATAGATAACAATATTTTTTTCTTTTCATTCCTGTTCTAATTTTAAATATCATTCATACAGTTTTTTTTTAACACAGAATATTATTAACATTTCCTTTACTTTCGATTTAGACAAAAAAGTGAAGATATAAGCCATAGATAATATTATTGCAACTTGACAAAACTAACCAAGATTTAAAAAGCAATAAGAGTTCTATATTCAAAACGAAGTCGTAAAGACACGCGTCTCACTTCATAATAACATCAAACGACGCAAAGGCATTCTCAGAACGTCCATACACTGTCAACATCAAAGCGTGTCGGCTTCCACAGAAACGTGCAACAAATTATGTATTCTAACAAATTCCCATTAATATCTGCATGGAATGACCGTAAGGACCTATAAATAGCCGACAAAAGGGCTCAAAGGATGCAACTTACCGGATAGAAGGAGTATTGCCAGCAGAACCGAATGCATCACGCACATTTTAAGACACTTCATCACACAAAATAACAACATCGAGTATTAAAACTTGTTTCTTATGCTGTACATGTTCATTTTCATTTAAATTATGTGAGGTAAAGGCATGTTTAGCTCAGAATGTGAACGTAAACAATACGCGATAACACGACCGACCGCGAAGCTACTTCGCATACGATGAATAAAGTTAGGCAAACGAACTCTGTGTCGGAGCTTCAAAGCGGCTTTCACAGACGTCACACATGAATAAAAAAGCTGTTCATGGACGCACACTAATACCGATTAAGGGAATCCAGACAGCAGCTAACTTCATTGCATATTTGACAGTTCATTCACACCATCCAGTTCGGAAACTTTTCTGAACGTAGCTAATGGCAGTGTGCACACGCAAAGCTATTAATAAAACAAATATATCATCAAAAATGTCTGATAAGTATGCAGGACGTTTAAAACAATACAATTCTATAAAAATACATTTTTTCATAGTTCCAGTTCCATAGTTAAAAAATACTTTTCCTATTTAACAAGAGATGTCTCTGTACTTACACAAATAGTATTGCTATTCACCAACAGATGGCGATTGGCGACTTTCTTAACTCAAGCCAACATAATTTTAAATCATTTGCTGTATTGTTTAATTATGCTATAATTAGACATTTCTGCCATAACAATAGACGTATAGTGTAGTATAACTTGAAATCTGCTATAATAGTAAGTAGTAGACAGCCTATTATGGCAGAATGCTTAAATTTAAATGTCAGAAACATTTTTTATCAACAATGACATTACTGATAAGCAGTTTTGATTACGTTAGATTGATTATGGCTTGGTTTCCACTTTGATTATTGTTGTTATGAAAAGATCTTACATTGCTTGTTTTGTACTGAGTATTTACCTATTAAACTGGTACAGAACAACCAATGTAGGTGTTAGATGGTGCTTGTTTTACATAGTGTAAATTAATAAATAGTAGATGTCGGTTTTAGCATATATTATAGTATTTTATATAAAGCAAAGGTGTAGTAAGACCTTGGTGCAATAGCTATCCGTTGAAACAAATGTGCCAGGTATCAATACTGGGGAAAAGATATATTCAAATATTTTATTTTTATCAATCATGGGCTGAAATGCAAATGAAAAGACAATAATAATATGTTCCTACAGAACAAAAGTGACAACTGTTTTGTTGGCTTTTGAGGTGGAAGTTTGTTTTTTTCCTTTTTGTATCTGCAATTAACTCAGTTATAATCAGATGTTTTAGCTTTTTCGTTATTTTGAGGGGAATTTCTGTAAATTCTCTCCCTCTGCCTTCGCATTATGGTGTCTGGCTTCTAGCATCTTTTTGGTCCAACTCTTAGTATTTGCCATATTTAACAATATTGTAGTGTCAGTGTTGGTGGGAATAAGATCTCTAGCGAGTTGGTTTGTGTGATTTTACAGTCTCTTCTTGTATTTAGTATAATATCTGCTTACCTCCTGCTTGACAGTAGGTATTTCCAAATAATCATGTATCTGAAAGTGGGAGCATGCTCTTTAAGTTTTGAGGTCTAAATAGTCAGGCACTCCCACAGTCAACAATTTGTTTCTTAGATAACTTATGCAATCTAAAAACTTAAAATGCACCAAAACATAAATAAAACTAAAAGAACATTAAACATTCTTTTTATTGCTAAAATGATGCTTAGCAAACGTCTGACCAACAATTAACGGAAACACCAAAGTTGCATCCGCAGACAATTTAACTGGTGTGGCATTCGGCTTGATCTTTCCCCACGAAACTGCTTCATCAGGCCTGGCCCCGGAATCACTTCCATCAAATTCGCTTGCAGTATTAATATAGACAGCATAATCTGCTCCGTTTCTCATGAGATTCGCATTACATATGTGATGTTTTATCACACCGCCACCCAATATAATCATACCAGTATTATTGGCTTTCACAGCCATCGTATTCAGTCGTCGTAAGTCACTTAATATATCAATAATAAGTCCAGGACGTTTAAACGAATGAAAATACATCATATCTCCTAAAGAGCCATCAGTCAAGGCTGGGCTGAAGACAGGAATATTGTTTCTCCAAGCCCAATAACATAAAGAGCTCTCGTCATTAATTTTCTCACCTAATCTAGCTATTATTTTCGACGGAGTCCAAACAGTTCCATCTCGGATCTGTTCATCAATCATCTCATCTAATAACGGTGTGACCCATTCTTCAAAACGACAATAATTATCATTTGGAACTAGCAAATTCCCAATTCTGTTTATACCTCGAGTTCTTAATAGTTTTCCGCTCAAATTAAAGTCTCCGACATACGTAGGGGCAAGGCATTTGATAAAATCTTCTTCAACACCACCAGCAGTGGTGACTACACAATCAACAAGTTTGTTTTTAACCAAAAATCGCAGTGTATCGCGTAGACCGGACGATATCATGTTAGAGGTGTATCCCAAAAAAATGGTACAGTTGGTTTTCTTCTTAATGAATATATCTTCTTCATAAGGATCACTATTATCTTCTGTTAGTGGCACGGAACGGCATTTTAACATTTTATTTATTTCTTGCACGGCATTCCCGAAGTTTGTAGCTTGGAAGCCTGAGTGGGCGAAACTCTCGAGTATTTTGTTGAAATCAGTGCCATTTTCCCAATCGTAACCTGAGACGATAGGTGTTTCAGCCGGTAGTTCTTGGCTAGGCAATAAAACGGCATTGACCGCGACATTTGGAGCTAAATTACTCCTTTTACTACAGGCTGTTGTTGTATCCATGATTACTTTTCTTTTTTTTAATTAGACCAGCTTTGAGTGCATAATTTATCGGCACTATAGATTTTTCTTCAATGTATTTTTATAAGACACGGAAATTTAATGGTTAGTGTCATTGTCAAATGTAAGTTGTCATTGTCATCCTTAACGTTTAGTTGTAACAACGTATTCAAGTCTAGGTATTAATTCTTTTAAAAAAAGTATATAAAAGTGATTGCCATTCATATGCCGATTGTAACACATACTATGTAATCATTATACTTTGTACATCGGGGTATAAAAATTTGAACAAACATTAGACCCCTCATCAACATTTGCAAAGATGCAGACGATTTTTCGTAAGAAGGTTTTTCCCTTTCTTCAAGTAAAAATAGAAGATAAAAAAAAATGTTTTTTCTTAACGGCTATAAGCCAACCTTGTAGCAAATTTATTTCAGATTTCGGAACTGCCTGCAATTTTCTGTCCGATGATTGGTTGTTGAAATATCGATGGCTAAAGCCAAAAGGATCCTTTTGCATTTAAAATTTGATGCTATGCTCCGGGTATCTCCGGAGCAAAGCATCAGAGAGAAAAAATAAATAAAGTACAATAAATGAATGGCTATCAAGTCTATACCATAATTTTATTGTAAAAAAAAATCCAAGCCCGTGGAGTCAAAAAAAAATAATTCAAAATTCAAAACAAAATAATAATATATATTTTTTCGCGCTAGCTAGAATTACTCGATAATTGTCGCCTTTAAAATGTTTGCCCAAGAGATCTGAAAACTAGAATTTTTGAGCTTCAAGATGCTTTTTTACAAGATTCATACGACAATTTTCCACAGACATAAAAAACCACAAAAAAAATCACAATTTCTTTATATAGCTATTCGAAAATTAAATCGCGACGTGATATAAGTGTATTTTAACTCCGTTCAAATAATCGATATTGAAAAATATTCGATAATATATAGCGAACATAGGCTACAATCCGCTAGTCCGTTTATCATGTCTATTTTATGCTCCGACTCATGTAATTTAAACACATTAAAACCTACAGAGGACATCGACAATCTGTAAATATTTATTCTAATACATAAATACTTACACTAGTACGAGCATTACACAATTCATAGTAAACGAAAACTCACATTCTCGATTGACATACTTTAAGTTCATTGATAATCCGTAAATAATTTATATATGTAAGTGTTGTCATCCATATGCAGGAAATACATTTGAAACTTAGTGCAAAATAGCCGTCAGGAATCCTAATGGTCGTCGCATGCGGTAGACCGTACGTTTAGGGCTGTCACTTACAAGTTATAATATTAAAAACTGTTCTAGTACGATTATAGATTAAGATTTTCTTGGTTGCGTTGTTTATATTAAAATATTTTAATCTGATTAAATGAATTTTTTTTTTTGTGATTATTTGATTTTCTTTTATTTCCTACAAGTGGAGTGAATATTTTTTTTTATTCGACAGGAATTTCCGTACCTTTAAAAGTCTTCCTTTAATGAGAATCACGAAGAAAATTATAATTAAATTGACTCTTAGCAGTGAGTTTTAGCACGGTGTCCTTTCTCTTAATTAGGTACACCATTGTCTAGGAATACCAAAAATATTTATTGTACAAGACTATGTTACATCGAATTTATTAAGCAGTTATGTAAAGGATTCCAGTAATCGCTGTTCCTTTATCATCCGTTAATATACACATAGGTATGTCTTATCTCCTCAACAGACCTGACTAATAAGCCGTAATAATAATGTATGAAATTAAAATGTTAATAGATCTTATATGATACAAGTATTCGCTTATTACTCATCATAATTGCCATATTAAATAACTATTCACTACTTGACAATTAAAATAGGAGAGGCAACCCTATACTTACTTTCTACGCGTGCTCGCGTTATGTAAGCGTTTCAAGCGCTGATAATCGCAGATCGAACAAACGCCTAATTATCCGATGCGCCGCTGCATAGAGTTATAAGAATTAGACTTGGGATAATGATATTAATTAAAGTATTATGGTGGAATAATCTTTTGTTAGTAAAATTACAATTGTTTATTTTTGGCTGTTTGAAATTTAAAAGTAATTTTTGCATAATTTATTTAAATGATAGGTCCACTGAAGCAAGAGATTGATAAAATATCTAACGTATACAGATTAAAATCAAACCATTTTTAGGGTTCCGCTTCAGAAATGGAAAAAAGATCCAAGGAATGAAAGTTGAAACCCATGTAAATGGCATCAAGATTCAAGATCTTGATGCCATTTACATTATTGTTATCAATGTGTGAAAATAGGTCCTAAATTTTGTAGCACTTATAAAAATAGGTAAACAATATGATGTTAAATATACTTAGTTTAGGACGCTTACAGGCCAGGTGGAGTGACGATTTGTGCAAGATGGCTGGCAGGAGCTGGATGCGAGAAGCCCAAAATCGATCTAAGTGGCGTGCAATGGCAGAGGCCTATGTTCAGCAGTGGACTGCGATAGGCTGATGATGATGATACTTGGTTTGAAATTGAATATTGCTTCAGATAATATTGTTGCTTTTTTTATATATTTTATTTTTACATTTTAAATAATCTATTCTTGTCTTGTACTAAAGATCAAAATAAGTCAAGCCCAATACAAATCATATCTACCGTTTATTTAAGTCTATGACATTCTTTATATTACAAAGCCGTCTAATCTTAGGGCAATCCTATAATATAACAAATCGGCCCACTTACTTTCGCCCTCAGCGGCGCTGAGTTACGTGATATGTATTATATTACATAGCTGTTGATTACCACTTACCTTGCCTTAGGCATGTCTTGCGATCGAGAAAACAAAAAGCGAGTTTAGAACGCGTAATAAGTTTAATAATGTATTATTGTCATGAGAGCTGGAATTTAGCACAGGGAGGTAAACGATGTCACCTGATTTTAATGGTACATAGACACTTGTAACTCTATAGTTGCTAGTGAGTAGCCCCAGTCCCCAACCCCCGGTACTCGTGGGAGGGAGAGGGGTTTTGGAATCCTGTAACCTCACTCACTCGGTGAAATTATCTTTTGTTTTTTTTTTTGTATTCTGCATGACATATTGTAAAATCTATCAAATTTATTTGTTTTTATTTTTTTATTATTATGTTATTTATATTTTTGTTTTAATTTTTAAATGTTTTTGTATTATAGCGAATTGTTATACATTCAAACACAATTATATTATTGTTTCTGAATAAATGAACTCACATCACATCACATCAACAGCCTATAATAGTCCACTGCTGGACATAGGCCTCTCCTTAGAAAGGAGGTTTTGGCCTACTATACCACGCTGGCCAGACGGGTTGGTATAGGGTTTGTTTCAAGTTTTCCTTCTCTTTGCAGTGCTGTTGTCCTGCTTAGATTGCTCCCTCAGTCAGCTCTTACGACACCCACAGGATGAATAGGGGTGGTGACATTCCGTATTCTTAATCCGTCACCACACGGATAATTGAACTATGAACTATGAAAAGCAGCAAAAGATTTGCTTAACAACGGTTTGCTGTGAGGCCGTGGTAACACTCTGGTCGAGCCGGCGAATTCGTACTGACGCATGAATCTTCTATAATCAACTACACTTACTGTCTTGGACCTCGAAACGAAGAGTTCATACATAGATGGATTTCCAAATCTGTTTTTTTTTGTTCGAAAGAGGTTTATTCCAAAATGCATCCATTTAAATTTTATATAGATCTGATGATTTATCTTGTAGTACATAAATATGTATGGAAATATCCTCGTCTATATAATAATGGGTAATTAGTTGTGTTTGAAACGCTCACATATTGTAAAAGGGGGCAAGGTTATTGACGACACTGGGCAGTTCAAGGATTAGATATGGAAACTGGGAGTATTTTATAAGGAAAGTTAGATAACAAGCAAATGCAAAAGTAGAAAAAGGATATTACTTGAACGGATGGAGTGGGAAATGCAGACAATAGCTTAACTTTTAGCGCTAATTAGCTGTAGCCAAAAAATCCAGGCTCTCTAATCCCTGTCACCTATGCTAATTTTCTGTAAAGTGTATTAAAACGTTTTTGTTAAATTTTGATGAAAAATTAAGTATGAATTCAGAAAAATAAAAATAAAATGTCAAGCTGGCAATGAATGATCACCAGCTCATTCGTTGCCAGCTTGTACTCCCTCCCTCATTTGATTTTCAGAACTTTTATATTTGTTGTTCATAGGTATTAATTTCTAATTGAGATTGTTCAGCTGAGAACGAAGATATAGTCGAAGGAAGTCATATTCATGGTTAAATTTCCATTTTTTTAATTTTTCTTAATTCATATCTAATTTTTAATTAATTCTGGTTTGTGTAACTGTAATCATGCTCAATTGTAAATAGAAAATGACTCATTTAATAGTCACCACTCCCCGGCTCACTCTGACCTGGCTTGTGACACCTCCACGTTGCTTGCAAACAATAATAATACATCCCTCAAAATACAGAACAACTCAGAACCCTTAAAAATAAAGAAAATTGTAATATTCAGTGATAAGATTGGGTAGGGTATGGGTCAGTTGCAGTCAATATGTGCAGTGATTTTTGAATAACTAGTTTCTGTATGCCAGGTTTAGATTATTGTCATATTTTAACAAAAATCTCCAGTTACCAGTTCAGCCAGGATACCATTTTGATAGTTTTAATTGGCAATAGAGGAAATCTAGATAGGCAGAGTTTGCTATGTTATTATAATAAATTGTGTGCATTAGATTTGAATCAAACAATTATATTTACACTGCCATATAGTAAAGATTCACCAGAGGAAGAAAATAACTTTAGGTATAAGTTAAATATGCAGTCACACAACATGGCATATTACAATATGAAGTTTCATATAATTGACACTAACAATTATGTTAGACAATATTTATATAAGACGAAAGATAGGTGTTATCTTTCATTGTTTTGTAAACGGCAGTTAGCACTATCGCTATCTTATTTTATTGATATAACAGCCAAAAAGATG